TCACACACCCCTAGCCTGTAGTATGGGTAGTCACACAGCTGTGATGGGAAAAGGCATGCTAGACTGTGTGCAGCCAAGGGGAGAACCCAGGGGTGGAGGGTGCTGCCTGTATAGTGAGTGGCTCTCATGCATCTCCAGACTATCCAGAAGTTGGACAGTCCTGCATTCAGGCATAAATTACCTTGCTGCTGTCATGATGTTTAGATCATTTTGACTTAAAAGCAATCAAGGACAAAGTATGCCCATGGAAGAATAACTATCCTAATAAGAAGAAAGAGCAAGATGTATTTAAGATTAAAAGGAAGACAAAGGAATGACCTGGTTAAACCCCCAACAATAACCAGACCATTCCTCAATAAATTAAAATCTCTTGCACACTGGCAAAGTACATAGCTGCATTTCTATTTGCACCCACATACTCCAGTGATTGGTGCACACATTTCTTATGTTTGAGTTTGGGAAGGAGGAGTGAGGAGGGATAACTTAAATGGAAGTCAAAGGTTTAAAAGGTGAGTCTGGCAGATAATCCCCTTCTTCTACATATGAAGTCTGAGGGCTTCTTCTTTCCCTCTTGCCTCACTAGTGATTTATGATTACTTTTGTAGAAGGACTAGCTTATCTCCCTTCCTGACACTTTCTTCTGTTTCAGAGATGGCTAACTGAGGAATTGAATTAGGCATTTCTGGACCACTGGAATGAAGAGAGAGCGTTAGCTCCCAGTTTTGCAGAAGTCAGCTCTGGAAATGCATCTCTTTCTGCTCTTAAAGCTGACATCCAGCAGGACTCCCAAAAACTTCACTGTGCTTCTGTTGTCCTTTGGGGTCAGGCCAGCTATCAGGATCTCAATATTGCACTGTTAGACAGGAGGGTGTGACAACTGCACATATACAGACACTCAAATCCATTAGGTGCGCGCGTGCGTGCGTGTGCACACGCGCGCGCGCGCACACACACACACACACACTCTCTCTCTACCATCTCAGGCACCTACACATACAAACCACCCTAGGCACATGCATACCTATCACCAATTCAAGCACATACACACACCAAAAATTTGACAACAATCAGTTTTCAGTACCCACACACCTAGTACACATACACAGATCACTAATTTGTTTATCACGCACATGCTGACATTTCTTCAGATTGTGTACACATTGGTTTATATCCTAACTTGCTGTGAATCAGCTAAGGTTGGGGGGGGTTTAATTAGTGAAACTATGCCAGTTTATACTAGCTGAGGATCTGGGCCCTCATTTCAAATCCATTTACAATACTCATTTATTAAAAACAAGGCACCCTAGGATTCTGAGAATTCTCCACTTTGGCAGAAGAACAACAACATAAGATGTCTGGTATTAATCTGGTCCACAGTCCAATCAAGAAAGTGTGCGCCAAAGGAATCCCCAAACATAAAGGCACTGTTTGGCTTTTCTCTCACAGCTATTGATGTTTTTTTGCCTTCTGCTTCTTTTCAAGTGGAAGGGACATTCATCCCTGTTCCACTCAAGTTTATCCTGTTGTTCTGAGATTTGTAATGGTACTATTACATTTTAAAAGTATGCTGCTCCAATACCTCAGTGTTGTTTAAAATATTGCAGACCCTATGTGGCTGTGCGTGTAAAAACACTCATTTCATAGGGGAACTCAGATGACTCTTTCTTTAATTTCTGAACTGATTCTGCCTATTCAGGTGAGATATCTGCAGTACAAAAGATAATCTCATTAATATTTCTATGCAGAGCTGTAAGATTTGCATTTCTAACTAACTACAGAGTGACCAGACAAGTTTCTTATTCCAATCCAATTAAGAACCTACAGATATCCTCTTTACTGCAGAAAAACCTATTAAACAAAATGAATTATCAATAGCATCATCCTCAGTTGCTATAATATCCCGTAGTCTTAACACCATTGACCTAAAATTGACCTGTTTTATCCAATGTAATGCCACTGAAGTCATTGGGAAGTCTTCCTGATCTTTCTGAGTCCAAGTCCAATAACTTCCTCAGTATAACATGGGTGGATGTGAAAAACACACATTTGTATTATTCGTAAATATAATAGCCACAGTAAAGTGGCCAGGGGGAGGATTCATCTGTAATTAATCTCACTGTAAGCTGTAACTGAATATGGATGTTCTAGAGCAAAGCAAACATACAAAAAACTTGGATAAACTAAACTAATAGATAATAGAGAACAGCAATGTAATATGCAAAATATATTTTGAGAGGCTGTAGGCATAAGATATAAGACAAAACCAAATAGCATCTGTAATAGGCATTCATCCCAGGGGTATCCATGATGCCCACTGATGGCTGCTCAACCCCTTCTCTGCCCACACATCTCAGGCTTGGTCCCCTTCACCTTTCCTGCCATGCCTTGCTGTAATTAGGAAAGGGAGGCTGCCCTAGGGATCTTTGATCCCATGGTGCTATCCAGGTATTACTACTTAGCACCTGAAGTGCTTACTATGTGGTTCTAACCTCCCTTACACCATGCCCATGTTTCCTGCACCTCTGGGCCAGTTGCCAGTGAGTCATGGCTGCACAGTTGGCCTTTGTGTGTCACTGCTTTCGTGTCTTCTGGTGCCCCGACTCTGCCATCTGGGCAGCTATCACCAGGAAGATATACTCATTGCAGTGGCCCACTTTGAACTGTTGAAGCATGTCCTCCTGGCTCCAAATGGTCAGGAGGTCAGCCATCTTGTCTGCCTTCCAGATGGGTCCCTGGTACCAGCCCTGGGCAGGCTCCTCTGCCTGGGTTCCACCACTTGCCACATCAGCAGAGACCCTTGGGATTCCTTCTTTAAAAATCACAATTTTTTGGATCAGTTGGGCAGTGTTTGGTTGATATATTTACAATTTTAAAGAAGTTTGGAAGCTTACCAGTACCTCTATCATCCTAATAAAATAAATTCTAAATATCTGTATACTTTGGTGTTTGCTTTTGGGGGGTTTTTTTATCACAGAAAAGTCAGAGTTGCCCTTGCTCCATTTGCTCACCAAGATGTGGGGACAGCTGCAACTGGACCTGCAGCTGCTTTGTGGCACTAAGCAGAACTGACATACTGGTGCTCTGCACCTGCCCATGCCTTTGTCCCTCGTTTTAAACACACAGCCCTACCAGTGCCACTCACTCCTGATCCACAGCCCCTGTCTGCCCCCAACTCATTCCCTCCCAGCATCAAGCTCCCTCCCAGCACCAGGACATGGGTCAAGCCGCAGCTGTCCCACCCACTGCTTTGTGACTCGGAGCAGTGCCAGCCCTTGTTGTTCTACTCCCTGCATCTGTGCCCAGCCCCCAGCAATCTCCATGCTGTTCCTGGGAAGTCCCTGACAGGGCCTCAGGAACTGGGCTAGGCAAGTCCCATCCCTTCCAGGCCAGCCTCCCTTTGCATAGGTTTCTTTATGGGCATGGGTGACTGGTGCCTTCTGATACTGGGGGGGGGGGGGCACCAGCGGCTGATCACCAACTGAGGAGGATGGTCTCCCAGCACCTGATTGTTGACCAGGGAGTGGGGTTCTCCAGCGGCCGATCTGCTGCCGGCACTTCTCTCAGCACCGCCACCCCAATCTCAGGGGGCGCAGTGCCCATCATCCCCCACTTCCTGGCCAGCAAGGGCCTATCTCGGGGAGGGGCATGTGCCCCTCCATGTCCCCACTATGTGTTGCCAATGTCTAGGGGGGCAGGGAGGCTCCAAGCCCAGCTGTGGCAGCCACTCCTACCCAGAGCACTCCCTCCCCCACATCTCTTTCTCTCTCACAGACCTCCCTGCTGCCACCCCTGGCCCATTACATGCACCCATAGACCCCACTGCCACCTCAATCCCCATCCTGACCATCACCCACTCCCACTGCCACCTCCCTCCCTCCCCCAGCCCATCACACCCCTCAAGTGGTTCCTAGGACTAGAAGTCCCCCCTCCCCCTGGCCAGGGCTTGCATGTCCCAGCACCAGTGTGGGCACAGGGCAGGTCTGCAGTGTGGCAGCTGCCCCTATGGCTGGGCATGTAGGGTGTTAGATTTTTTACAGGACTGTGGAGTTTATGGGTGGAAAGGTTTGTCAGGGTGTGGATATGGGGTTTGTGGGGAGGGTATGGGTTTTGTGGGTGATTTTCAGGAGTTGTGGGTGTGGGTGTAGAGGGTTTGTGAGTGTGGGGTTTGTGAAGGAGGGGTGGGGGCGGGTTTCTGGGTGTGTGGGGTTTGTAGGTGGCTTCAGGCGGGCTATGGGTGTGGACTTTACGGGGCATGTGTGTAGATGTTTGGTGTTTGTGGGGCGAGCCACCACATGCCTACCTTCCCACCCACCCCACAATTCTCCCACAGCAGCAGCCAGCAGCAGGCCCTTGGGGCACTCATGGCCTGCTGCAGGCAGATGCCCCTGGAGGTACATGGTGCCACCTGAGTCTTGGGGGCTACATGTGGTGCATTCAGCCAGCCTGGCCCATTGACACCTGCCCTTGGACAAGGCCAGGCTGGCTCCTGCCTATACGTGGGGCTCCCGGCACTGCACGCTGGAGCCACATGCCATCAAGCCAGGTTGGCTCTTGCCTCCATGTGCGTGGTCCAACCAGATGGAGGTAGGAACCAGTCCAGTCCTGTTTGAAAATGCATGCCAGTGGGCCAGGCTGCCTCCGTGCACCATGTGTAGCCCCTGGGACTCAGGCAGCTCTGCACACCGCTGTGGGGGGGGCTCTGCCTGCAGTGAACTATGAGTGTCTCAAGGGCCTGTTGCTGGCTGCTGCTACTTGCAGTGTGGGCTTTGCACTGTGGTGAGATGGGAGGGGGCTCACTACACAATCCCCACTTCCCACACAGTCCCTCCCTGTCACACAGTCCCTACACCCACCAACACAGATGCCATTAGGCTGGGTGGGCTCCGTGGCTGCCCCAACTTAGTTTTCTACCTGTTTGCAAGAAGCTCTTGCAGGCTGGAACTCTATCAGCCTTCAGAGAACTGTTCGCAAGTGGGAAAAACCACAGTTTCCCCTTTAAATGAGAAAATCCATGTCTTTCCATGGGAAAAAGAAAACCCATGTCCCTGCTTACCGGGATCACCCATGGTCCCTTCCACAGCCTCTGGGTCCTCCTGACTCTGCTGTTCACCTGGAGCTGAAAACAGGGTGCCTCTGCCTTCAGGACAGGCAGATCCTGCTGCAGCTGGGTAGCTCCAGAGTCTGTCCTGGGTTGCTCCAGAGCCTTCATGGTCCTGCTGCTGTGCCTGGGCCCAGGGTGCTAGGCAGGCTCTGGAGCAATCTAGGACAGAGCCTGGGTCCCAACCACTAAGCCATTACTGCTAGCCATGCTCCACTTCTATTTCCTTCAGCACACTGAGGCAGCATGCTGGAGCAGCAGGGGTATGTGGTGTGCATAGACACCCTCTCGCCAGGTACTAGAGCATCACCTTGGAGGACTCAGCCTCCAGTTGCTTCTGGGTACGCTCCAGGAGCATGCACAATGCTGCTTTTTTCCAGCATGTTTTCTTCTGATACTGGGATTCCCTGGTATCAAACTTAAGAGTCTGGGTTACAAATATGCAGCATGGAGAACCATTTTTAGTTCATGGCATGCTTTCTGTAGCATCTCGAACTGCTTTGGGATGCCACAACACACATGTGCTAGCTCATGTAGACATGTCCAAAGAGTTAACTTGTAGGGCTTTTTTGATCAAGTATCCCAGTAGAATATCCCCGATTCAATTTTTTGGGCAAGCATGCTTAATCTTCCTACACCTCATTTTCCCATACTGGAGTTTCTTGGGCATTCTGTCTAAACCATATCTTCATCCCGCTGCACATGTGCCTCACTGGAGCTCAAAATATTCTAGCAAGCAAGATAAATTTGGTCCGGAAAAGTCTTTTATTAGATAGGTACATAACTGGTGGATAATATTGCTCAAAGTGTAGTCATCAATCAAACAGGTGTCAAACTGGGTTCCTCAGGCATCTGTTCTGAGTCCACTGCTGTTCAACTTCTTCATTATGGCCTGGAGGATGGAACTGAGTGTACACTTAGTAAATTTTCAGATGGTGTCAAGCTGGGTGGATTTGCAGACCCTTACACAGCATTAGGAATCAAAATTGGGAAAATGGTCTGAAAAAATTGGATGGAATTTGTTAATGACAATTATAGAGTGCTACACTTAGGAAGGGGAAATCAAATTTGCACGTGTAACA